GACCCCCGCATATTCAAACGAGGGGGAGGGGCTATGCAAACGAGGGTGGGCGGGGTTTGGGGAGGCCACGCCCCCTTCCCCGGGGTGACAGCGCCCCCTGCAGGCCAAGGACAGCGACGATGAGGACGAGGTGGTGACGGTGGACCGGGACCACTTCATGGACGAGTTCTTCGAGCAGGTCCGGGACCCCCGAAATCGGAACCGGGACCCCCAAAAATGGAACCGGGGCCCCCAAAAATGGGACCGGGACCCCCAAAAACCCCCTGGGACCCCCGAAATCAGAACTGGAACCCCCAAAAACGGAACCGGGAGCCCCGAAAACGGAACCGGGACCCCCAAAAAAACCCCTGGGACCCCCAAAAATGGAACTGGGAGCCCCGAAAACCCCCCGGGACCCCCGGAAACGGAACCGGGACCCCCAAAAACCTCCTGGGACCCCCGGAAACGGAACCGGGACCCCCAAAAACGGGACCGGGACCCCCGAAATCGGAACCGGGACACCCGGAAACGAAACCGGGACCCCCAAAAACCCCCTGGGACCCCCCAAATCAGAACTGGAACCCCCGGAAATGGAACTGGGAGCCCCAAAAACCCCCTGGGACCCCCGGAAACGGGACCGGGACCCCCAAAAACGGGACCGGGATCCCCGGAAACGGGACCGGGACCCCCAAAAACCCCCTGGGACCCCCAGAAATGGAATCGGGACCCCCAAAAATGGGACTGGGACCCCCAAAAACCCCCTGGGAACCCCGAAAATGGAACTGAGACCCCAAAAATGGGACTGGGGACCCCGAAATCGGAACCGGGACCCCCGAAAACGGAACCGGGACCCCCAAAAACGCAACCAGGACCCCCAAAAACTCCCTGGGACCCCCAAAAATGGAACTGGGACCCCCAAAAATTGGACTGGGAGCCCCAAAAATGGGACTGGGACCCCCAGAAATGGAACTGGGACCCCCAGAAATGGAACTGGGACCCCCAAAAATGGAACTGGGAGTCCCAAAAATGGGACTGGGGAACCCTAAAACCCCCTGGGACCCCCAAAAATGGAACTGGGACCCCCAAAAATTGGACTGGGAGCCCCAGAAATTGAACTGGGACCCCCAAAAACTCCCTGGGACCCCCAAAAACAGGACCGGGACCCCAAAAATGGGACCAGGACCCCCAAAAATGGAACTGGGACCCCCGAAATCGGAACCAGGACCCCCAAAAATGGGACTGGAGACCCCCAAAAATTGAAACTGGACCACCAAAAATTGAACTGGGAGCCCCAAAAATGGATCTGGGACCCCCAAAAATAGGATTGGGGACCCCGAAAACCCCCTGGGACCCCCAAAAATGGGACTGGGACCCCCAAAAATGGATCTGGGAGCCCCAAAAACCCCCTGGGATCCCCAAAATCAGGACCGGGACCCCCAAAAATGGAACTGGGAGCCCCGAAAACCCCCTGGGACCCCCAAAAATGGAACTGGGACCCCCAAAAATGGGACCAGGACCCCCAAAAATGGAACTGAGACCCCCAAAATCCACCCGGGACCCCCAAAATCCCCCCAAAATCCCCAAAATTCCCCCAAAATTCCCCCAAAATCCCCAAAATTCCCACAAATCCCCCAAAATCCCCAAATCCCCCCAAATCCCCCCAAATTTCCCAAAAAATCCCCACAAATTCCCCCAAATCCCGTCAAAATCCCCCCAAAATCCCCCCAAAATTCCCCAAAATTCCCCAAAATTCCCAAAATTCCCAAAATCCACCCAAAATCTCCTCGAAATCGCCCAAATTCCCCAAAATCCCC